GAGAACGAGCTAATGAAAGGCAGCGAACGCGTAGTCTCCGAGGCCGAGCTTCGAGTGCGACGTTCACTTCAACGCCTCCATGTCCCCGAGTGGATGAAGAACGCCCCCCCCGCGGAGCAGAGTTTCCTCCTCAAGAAAAGTGGAGGAGGAGGTGCTGGAGGAGGAGCTGGAGGTGGAGGAGGAGGAGGTTGGGCGGCCTATTCCTCGAAGGCAGGGTCTATGACCTCGCTCGGGTCTACTCGCTCAGGTCATTTCTCGAGTAAGGTCGTCATACCGACCCGCGTGACGTCATCGTCGAGGGGGTTCGTGACGTCGGGAGCTGGAATGACGTCATCGATGGGAGGTGGAGGGATGATGATGACGTCACCCTATGGCATGACGTCATCGATGACATCACCGAGCTCCGCCTCCGTCAGTCCTTCTCCGAGCGACAAAATCTCCCTCTTCACTTACCCCTCTGGGCGTTGGAGCTCCTCACGCCTAAACTCCGGAAACGTCACGCCCACGGGCTCTGTGAGGACCTTGGGTACGCCCACGAGCCTCTCCCGGACGCCCTACTTAGGCTGGAGGTCACAGACGTCCCTAGCGCGATCCCAAACGTCCCTCTCGGGGTCACAGACGTCGATTTTGGGGTCGTATATGACACCCGCCGAGAGATTGGCGCTCGGTGTCACTTCCTACTCGTTTTTGAGGAAGAAGGAAGAAGGAGAAGGAGGAGGAGGAGAGGGGGAGAAGGAGAAGAGGGAGAGAGAGGAGAAAGAAGGAAGAACGCGAGAAGACGGGGAACGGGACGGAAAGGCGGAGAGGCAATCGGACGACGAAGGAAGGGAGAGGGAAACACAGGCCGATAAAAGAGGGAATGGGCGAGACGGAGGAGAAGAGGACGTGCATTCTTCCATCCGGGAAGTGACCTCGGCCATCGTGCACTATTGCAAGGACTCCAGCCCTTCCCCAAGAGCCACCAGAGGTCAGAGGTCACGCCCGGTCCACCCTCCGCCCCCCGTTCCATCTAGGACAGGTCAGGACAGGTCAAGATCCCCCGTCGAAGGTCAGGAAGACAGGTCGAGGTCGCCCTTCGAGAGCCAGGCCAGGTCAAGGTCGCCCGCGGAAGGTCAGGAGAGGTCAAACTCGGCTCTGGACGACCAGGAGAGACTCTTCAACCTCGAGAGCCAGGTCGAAGGTCAGAGAAGATCCCTCACGCCCTTGGAGGGTCAGCTGAGGTCAAACTCACCCTTAGGAGGGCAAATGAGATCGAATTCGCCCCTCGGAGGTCAGCTAAGGTCAAACTCACCACTCGGAGGTCAGATCAGGTCAAATTCCCCGCGCCGATTGGTCTGGGTGGAAAGTTCCTTCGTCGGGTCAAGGCCCATTCACTCACCCGAGACGCCCACGGCTTCCACGCACGCCCTCGCCACGCCCACGCCCACTTCGGAGGTCATAGGGTCAGGTCAGGTCAACGGCGACGGGTCAGGTCAGGTCAGGATGGAAGAGGAGTCGGCGAGGAGGCCGGAAAGCTCGACTCCAGGTGAGTATCTTATGGCGTGGTGACCTGAGATGACCTCGTGAAGTGACCTTTGTAAATTTTGTTATATCAGGTTATTGTGTGACCTGAGCTGACCTAGTGAAGTGACCTTTGTCAATTTTGTCATATCAGGTTACTGTGTGTCCTGAGGTGACCTCGTGAAGTGACCTTACCTTTAAATTTGGTCAGATCAGGTCGTTGTGTGACCTTGATTGACCTTGCCTTTAATCTTGGTCAGGTCAGGTCACCTGATATGACCTCGTGAAGTGACCTTGTGAAATTGGTCATATCAGGTCACTGTGATCTTAAATGACCTGATATGACCTCGTGAAGTGACCTTTTAAATTCAGTCAAATCAGGTCACTGTGTGATCTTTAGTGACCTGATATGACCTCGTGAAGTGACCTTTTAAATTCAGTCAAATCAGGTCACTGTGTGATCTTTAGTGACCTGATATGACCTCGTGAAGTGACCTTTTAAATTCAGTCAAATCAGGTCACTGTGTGATCTTAGCGTAATGACATGACCTGAAGTGACCTAGATTACGGTGCTCTGATATTTTAAGGTCACGAGGTGACCTCGTTGTGAAGTCAGGTCATTGTGAAGTCTTGGAATGACTCAGCATAAATGAGAGGTGACCTGACATGACCTGATAATGATCCTCTGTCGTTTGGTGACCTGGAATGACATTGTTAAGTAATCTAAGTGAAAAAAAGTGTTTGTTAAGTAAGGTCACTTGTTAGAAAGCGTGATTCAGGTCAGATCATAAATCAGGTCATATTGTGAAACAGATCAGGTGAAACCGGGCCAGTTAACAGGTCAGGTGAAACCAGGTCACGTTCGAAGCCAGGTCAAAGGGAAGCCCAGGTCACGTTCCAAGCCAGGTCAGAGAGCATACCAGGTCAGACAAAGCCAGGTCAAAGGCCAACCCAGGTCACGTTCCAAGCCAGGTCATAGGGCAAACCAGGTCGCGGTCGA